ACTAGAGAGGTACAACCTGTACTAGAATGAAAAAAAGATCAAAGTGAGAAACACGACCTAGACCTATGAATTATTATTATTATAATTAATATTATATTTTAGCTCCCAGGCCCCAATGTGGGTTAGTGACCTTTGCCCAGGTGGTCTGATGCCTGTATATAAAAAAAAATAAAAACATAAAAAATAAAATAATTCTGAAATCCGAAAAATTCCGAAAACCGAAATGCATCTGGTCCCACGGATTTCGGATAAGGGATTGTCAACCTGTATGTTATATTTGGTAGGAATCATACAGTTAGAAAGGAATCTATTGAAATAGTTCAAAACATTATAACCTATCATTGTAGCTGTAGCCCCCAAAATTCTCCTCTATGTCAAAAGTAATGTACAATACTGCAAACATCATAGTCATCCCTAAAAGCCTTTTTATTCATATTACACTACATAACATTCAAATCCACCGCGCTTGTAGAATATCAGAAAAAGGGAAACATTGATAAAGAATAACTCACCTACTGAATGTTACTGAATTATTTGATGAATTGTACCTAGGTATGGGTATATAATATTAAGTGTATGTACTCATAGCATTAAGGAGAACTCAAGGTATCTATAAGATGGTTGGGAGAGTCCATCCAGTATGGATTAGTGTACTATAAGGGCTGAATGTAGATCGTGTTTGAAGGTCATTCTATGAATGTCTGTGAACAATTAGTGAATATAGCTCCCGTTGTTGTTGTTGAGATTTTCGGACCGTAGTCCGACACGGGCCTTTGCCTATAGGCGGCCCGTTTGGTGGTCCCGGCTGGAGCTCCTGGAGCAGCCAGACCGGATTGGGATTGGAGGTGGTCCTACCTGCAGATTTGGAAGGATACTGCAGGTTGCAAGTGTGAGCGGACCCCCGATCAGTGGACGCTTACCACCAACCCCCACTCTTGGACATGGTCAGTTTCGGAGTGGCACGCCCCCCGAACTGGGGTCCGCACTTGCTGGGAGAGGATACTTTCTAAGCTATCTGGGTGGTGGGTTATAGCTCCAACTGGTGGGTGATGGAACTATAAGAGAACTTTGATTTGGAAAAAGGATAAATGTATCAGACCTATGTGAAGTGTTGCAAGTGATCCAGAAACTATACTTCAAAGGAAATATCTTGTATGCATCGGTGTGAACTTAATACACCTCAGTTTCTCGTGTGAGATCGCACGGTAATACAGAGGGAACAGCACAAGAAGCTCCTGCAGAACTTGAAGCAGAAGAGGGAGGAGTCAAGGAAGAACGGGGACGGATGTACCTGGGTTATACTCAGGGGGAGGGTAGTGGAAACAAGTGTGCCGACACAGGGCCAGGGGGCAGTAGTGCACCCTCCACCCGCTCTAACCCTCACCCGGTGTACTGCGCACATCATTGTCATTCCTAAAAACCCCCTTTAATTCATATTACGTAACATAACACTCAAATCCACCGCACTTGTAGAATCTCAGAAAACGGGAAACATTGATAAAGGATAACGCACCTACTCGATGTTACTGAATCATGTGTTGTCTTGTACCCAGTTATGGTTATATAATATTAATTGTGTGTATTCATAGCATTAAGGAGAACTCAGGGTATCCATAAGATGATTGGGAAAGTCCAGTTGAGCTGGACTAGTGTACTGTAGGACTAAGTGTGGATCATGGTTTGAAGGTCATACTATTTACGTCTGTGAACGTGGAAACTCACGAATTGCCATGGAAAATAAATACCTGTAAAATAAATCTGAGGCTGTGCCAGGGATCAAGAGGGGTCAACACTACAGGACAGTACAGAACACCATATTTCCCAGATCCTAAGATGCACCCTGTAATTAGCAAGGTATATTTTGGAAAAGCCAAATCACTGGCTATATGCTATCATGTTTCTCACTACCACAGCTCACTATCACAATTCTTGGAATTATTAATACAATTTACCCAATTTAATACAAAAGGATATAATTATACATATAGGTACCTACAGTATACACATTACAAATACTTATCGGTACCAGGCATGTTCACTAGGAACTGTTCAGTACAGGAATTGTTTACATCCTGTGCACCACAACTAACTATCACTGTGTGGACCTAATGTCCATACAGCGTTATTTCATGTTTATGTTTATTTATTTATTTTATTTTATATTTATAATATTATCTTTTGCATACATAATGTTGTTATACATGTGCAGATAGCTATTATATATGTATTTTGCACACCTGGGACTGGCATGAAAAACTCTCAGATTTTGCTTTCTCACGGGGACCATTTTACCTAGTCCTAGCAAGCTTTAACGGAATACTGTAGTTGTACAGTACACATTTAAAATATTCATCATTTGCATCACATTTGATTTTTTATGATTGTGTTACATTATATAGCTGAAAATCTTAGGTTTGAAATGTATCTCCAGATAGTACAGAAAATGTAAACTTCATAATATAATTTCATATACAGTACTTTATGTTTTACAAAAATGCATGTACAGCCCCCCCCCCCCAAAAAAAAATAGGGTCGATGTGATTCTAGGCTTTCCGAGCAATGTTACTCTACCTGTTTCTGAATGGTTGGTAGTTCTACATCTACGACCTTTGAGCATGAATGAATATACAGTACAGGTATGTATACGTTTTTTAACAATACTGTACATACATTAATATAGCTTTATGGATTTCTTGCTATATTGAAGTATCTAGTACTGTATACCATACAACGACAACTCCCTCCCCCAATCCTACCCCCATCTGTAGCTATTGTTGATATGGCAAGCAGGCATACCAACTAATGATGGAGCACTGGGGTTCATTTCGTCTAGCGTTTCACATTGTAATGACAGAAAATTGAACGATACCTTTTGGGGGACTGTACACTAGAATCCCAGTTATGCAGTATCTATGCAACTGGAACCAAAATGAAATAATAATAAAAATAAAAATTCCTCCCAAATCAGCTAAAATCGTAAGTTTGAATACCGCGCCCAATGGGGATGAGCTGCCATATATATTGCTATGATAAACAATAAAATTGATACATAACATAAAATACAATAGCACATATTTTATGTACAGTGAACCCTCACTTTACGCGGTTAATTCAACCCACGGCGGCCCGCGTAAAGTGAACAACATAACATATGGGATTAATTGAAATAGAGACCGGGCCGACCCCCAAACTCCACTTTTTCAGACACAATACCTACGTTGTAGTAAAAATAACTTTTTAATTTTATGATGGTATGCACACACAATTAATAATTAAGAGAAATATCTATAATATTAGGCCTCTTTGTCAAGCCCCTCAAAGTCCATATAAGTCCATATTCTCACTATCATTATCACTATCACTGACTTGGGCCGGCTGTGGTGGGTGGCGGGTGAAGAACTCGGTAATGTTTTGATGACTGGGCAACCTTGTGCGCACCCTGCTCGCGCCGCTCTCCGCGTAAAAGGGTACACACACCGCGGAAAGTGAGCATTCCGGTCTCGGCAGGGTACCGCGTAAACGTGGAAACGCGTAAAGTGGGACCGCGTAAAGCGAGGGTTGACTGTACAAGAAAATAGCTTCTTCCACGCTCAAACCATCCTCTGGGCAAGACACAGTTCAGCCAGGCAGTCGCTAAGCTGACTCACAGACATGTGGCTGCCGCACAGACGCTGTGTGTATGATGTGACTTCACATAGGAAGGGAGTGGAGCCACGCAGTTATAACTCAATAACCCATCGCCTCAACACACATTCACTTCCCACATATACACACCCATGCTTTGATTTTTCTTATTTTATAGTTTTATATTATATTTTCTTTATTTCTGAACCACATAGTTTGTATAAGATGGAATAAGTGTTACAGAAATCCATTTTATGACTCATATTCGTAAGGTCAGCCTGTAGCATTGTGCATTGTAAGATTAATTGGGGACCCCAAGAGTGAGGTTCAACTAATCGGAAAATTTCTTTATTCAGCACCTCTCAATCCCCATACATGCTGGATAACCGGGACTCTACTGTACTAAGTTAAGCACGACACACCTGTATCATATTTTAGTAGACCCTCTATTTATAATCAAATCAAATGAAAATCAAAACTTGATGAGTTCATTATATATTTTGGGCAAATACTGTACAGTTTCCTTCATAATTGACCACAAAAGCTTTTCCATTTCCCAATGCTTGGCTATCCATAATAATGGAATGATGTCAAATCGCATTAAATTTAACTTGCTTAAGCTCTATAATGTAACACAAACATAAGAAATCAAAGCTGTTGGCAAAATACTTTGCCAACAGTGCGAGAGACCTGCATACCAGAAAACATCGTAAAAATATGGTCTATAAAAATTGACATGTCACAACTTCATATAAATAACTAGAATTTAAAAATTATTCAATTACTGAGTACAGTACAGTATTCAAGTGTGGGAAATAGCTATAGCATCATGTTTATGAAGATGAGTATTCATGGGGATTGAACAATGAAGTTGATAATTAAAATAAGAAAATAACACAGTATTGTACAGCAATGTCTCCGTTAGCCGGAATCCTTCAAACCCAGAACTCTCCGACAGCCGGAATTGAAATTTTCTCGGAAAATCGTTCCCAAAGCCAGAATTTTCCAGAAAATTCCGGCTTTGGTAACGATTTTCAGAGGGGCACATTTTCCAGAAAATTTTGCAAAAATTTTCCCGATACCCGGAAAATTCCGGGGATGGGGGATATTTCTCTGGATTCGAGAGATGATGTAATGGGCAATTTCTGGAACTTCCGAGAAAATTTTTCCGTTAACAGGAAAATTTCTGAACATTCCAGCTCCGAGGGATTTTTTCCGGCTCCGAGAGAGTCGTCTCGTTACCCGAAAATCTCTTATTCCCGGAAGTGCTCTGCACCAATTGTTCCGTGCTAACAGGAATATTACCGTACTATAGAACTTCTGTTCATACTAAATGTATATAAAACACAGTTGAAGAGGAAAATCAAAGACAAATATTGATTAAGTATTAATTAATACTATTAAAGGACATATGAATGTTTTACAAGTTTTATTTGCACTCTTGCTTGATGCTATACATCAATGTACGAGGGTCATTTAATAAATAACGAGACAAATTAATAACTGCAGAAGTAATGATTTATTAATAATGATCACATACAGTACCTATTTTTCCACACAATCTCCCTCTACAGCTATGCACTTGTCCCACCTTTCTACAAGTCTTCTTATTCCTGTGGTGAAAAATTCTTTCGGTTGACTCCATAACCAATTTCTGGTTTCTTTCTTCACCTTTTCATTATTCAAAAAATGGTTTCCACATAAAGCTGTTTTGAGTGGACCAAACATGTGGTAGTCTGATGGTGTAAGATCTGGACTGTATGTGGGGTGAGGTAAAATCTCCCAGCCCAGTTTTCTCATCACTTCCTGCATATGGTGCAATGTGGGCGTTAAAACTCTGACAGGTCATCCGGCATGATCTTCGTCCAGAATGCTTGTTTGTCCATTCTTGAATTGTACAACCACTTGTAAAAGTTTGTTCAACCGATTGCTTCAGTATTGAAGTGACATTCTGTGATGAATTTTGCTTGGGTTTATCCTTTTTTAATTTAAATAACGAATAACAGATCATTGTTCTTCTAAAGTACAAAGTTCAAGTGGAGCGTTCATTGTTAATGCAACACTTACTCGAGACTAATTGAATGAACTGACCAAAAACGAAAAGAAAATAAGATGTGGCTTATGCATGAAGTAACATGACTGCTGCGCTTGCCCCTCCCCTTTGCTGCATTGATTGCCGCTTGCCCCTCCCCTTTGCTACATTGATTGCCGCTTGCCCCTCCCCTTTTCTGCATCTACATCAAAAAGTCTCATTACTTATTGAATGACCCTCGTATTACTGAACAAATTGAATACAGTATTGCCTTACTTGTATACATAAAATAATATTGATTAATACAATCCAAGAGCAGGGTTGATACTCCTACTGAAACACAAGTAAAGAAGAATTATCATACATAGGGTCAAGGCAAATACCCTGTACTCAATACAAATTAAAACTAAATGTGAACTATAAACTCTAACTCACTTGCCAGAGGTAATAAGTGAGGTAGCCATCCAAAATACTCTTTGGAAGCATTAATGGTTTTCAGACAAGTGCATTCACACTTTCCTGTTTCCTTTTCTAAACTGATCACCTTTTCACCTCTATCATACCACACATCTAAAACTCACATGCAATTTCTACTACTGCACATTTTGGTCCTTTCAAAGTTTCTTAAAATCTTATCAAAACAAGATGATAAAAAAAAAAAAAACCCACTTTATCTACGCTCTCGATATCGACGCTCACGACTTCGTTCACGTCGATCCCTCGTCCGCTGCAAGAACTCATCCACACTACGGTCATATGGCTGAAATAAATTAACGTAATTAAATTAAGACAAATTCCGAAAATTCCAGTACTGTACTGTATATTATAAACAATATAAAATAAACTGAAAGTGTAATTCCAAATACTGTACAGTACTAAATTTGTCAAATAGCTAGTCAGTGTGCTAGAGCATAACAAATTTAAAATTTAGTAGGGTAGTGTAATTACAGTTGGGGAGAAACAGCAGAAAGATTCAAATTAAGGACCATTAACAGTCTAAACAGATATCCTTAAACTACACTTATCACATTCCTGAAACATACAGTACACACCAAGGACAAAAACCTCTGTCAAAAAGAAGAATTTCCTATTAAAATTTTTCATGTGTACACATACAGCAGTCACATCTGTAACCCACTACCAAATTCTTAAATTATGTGCACAGATAAGTTGACCCTTGCTTTTTGCGGTGGTTAGGTTTCACAGTGCCTTCAAAATTTTCAAAATCCGTGAACAATATTAGCAGCCATAGTACTGTATTGTATGTTTGAGAAACTGTACTTGAGTCACCCATAAACACACCCATTATATGGTACAGTGTTTCAGTATACTGTAGTATGATTACTTTAAATAGATATACAATAGTGAAAAATAATAAAAACCAATGAAATCTACTTACTTACAGCAATATAAAATACAGTACAGTACTGTACTGTATATACTGTACTGTACTACACTATACTGTATAGGTGTACTGAACCATTTAGTACATTCTATTTGAGAAACTGTATTGTACTGTACTTGAGTCACCCTTAAGCAAAACCATATATGGTACTTTCAGTATGTTTTCTTTAAATATGGTACATGTACAGTGTTGCAAAACATTAATACACCAATGAAATCATACATTATACTATACAATAAGTATTAAATAAGAAAAAATGAAGTGGAGAGGGAATTGTCTGTGAGGGACCCTCCTGGATATAAGCACAGCTTTGTCAGCTATCCTTAACTATGTTGCCTTACATTGATGTTTACCTGCACTGTCTCGGCACACAGGAAATTGTATAACTGTACTACATATACTCTCACATCCTACATGCACCATATACCTACAATGTCTATATTCATGATGAACTGTATAACTGATAGATTATAAATATGCTAACCCAATTTTCAACCTGTACAACAATTTTATTTAATAAATATTATTATTATTATTATTATTATTATTATTATTATTATTATTATTATTATTATTATTATAATAGGGAGCTAGGACAGGTGGCTGGCTGGACTCGATGGAAATTCCCCAATCTCTCTATAACTACAGTATGCAATTTCACCATAATTACCATATTATTAAGATTTATTTGGTGCCAGGTTAATAGAACATCATCGCAAAATAAAAAAAAATCCTGGGGGGGGGGGGGGAAGGAATCCCACATTCATCCCCAGTTGAGTTACTGAGCTTGTTTACGTAAATGAACAGCTGACCAGCCAGCAAGCCACAGTACCTTCCTGTCCTCATTTTCTTTTCATGTAATGGTGTCATCCACAGGATGATTGTGAGAAGGGAAGAAGCTGGTTATATAATATACAGGGTGAGCATAGAGTCTTTCCCTGATTACAAACATTTATTACACAAAACATATGCTAGGTACAAACATACAGTTTTTTGCAGCTTAAAATATGCATGAAAAAAAATCTATGAATTCGTCTACACAATGCTACAACATTCATGTTTCTATCTAGAATGGTCTTCGAGATATTATTTTTCATAATCAGGGAAAGACTTTATGCTCACCCTGTAGAACTACTGTGTTGTACCGTAAAAAAAAATGGGGGTGGTGGGGGTGGGGGTGGGGGATGGAGGGAATGAGCTGTGAATAGTGAAAAACCATGAACTGTGAAACCGTGAATAGCAAGGGGCAGTCCCTTAGGTCAAAGTTTGGTTTAGAAATATTTTAAGTAATAAAAAAGAGTCCTGTGTGTTGATTTACATAAAAAAATCAGTTATAATATTTTTTGGCTACAATATTTTCATATATTTTTTTTAATAAAAGTTTAATGAATACTGTGTATGCTAAAATAATGCATTTTTTATTTGTTAATACCAATAATGCTTACTTCTCTAACACTCACAATCTTATTTAAATATACAAATAATCTTTCAATGTGTGATTATACTCTTACAATCACCATATAACTTACTCCTCAAACTCAACATAGACAAGTAGATTCATCTCCACAAGCACACAGTCACTCACCCAGTTACCTTATTGTCCAATTTCTCTCATGTAATACACTAGGTACTGTAATGTATGTTGGAAAATTAATTACTGTACAGTATTAGATAATTATTTTCTTCTTAATTTCAGATGCTAATCTTGGACTGTACTGTACAATCAAGGTGTAGAGTTATAAGTGAAAGTTTGGAATTTGGAAGTGAACAAAAGTTTGGAGGTGTGAATATTGCCAGCAACACACGAAAGAGCGTTAGTGTAGCATCAACCGATTGAGGGCAGTTTTACGCCATGTAAACAAAGCAGCGGAATTTAATGTTGACATAATAACTTATAAGGGTTGAGCATGAGATTTTTCCGAGTGTACAGTATTTCCAATTATATCCAGTAACAGGAATAAATGTACCACTAGAGTTATATATTTATCACAGATGTTGGCTTATCATTTCATACTGTTCACTTTGTTTAAAATTTCCTCCAATTTCTTTTAAGTACAAGTATAAAAGTACTAATGTACTATATTGCACTCTAAAAAGTTTCCTTAAAACATGTTTTATGGCATTTTAAGAGGTTTGGGGGATTTTTTTTTTCTGCATAGAAATGTATCTCGGCATTTATAAAGAGAATCTATGAGAAAATCTGCATTGATTTATAAAAAATCATTTTACAAAATGGTTTTACAGGTATGTGTAGGTATTATACAGGACCTCTTTTTAACATGATTTCACTTCACACAATTTTGCTTTAATACAATTTGTCAACAGAAGACCACTTTACACATTACCGTAGCTTTTTCATTGGAACATAATCTACGTGGTTGAGAAAATTTTCAGCAAAAATTAATCAACATAACTGAACAAAATATTGTAACACCGACAGAATGGGAGAAATAAGCACAAAGACACATGCTACATTCACGAGTGTGCGTGCTTGGGCTAACCAAGACATGGGGCTGTAAAACATATGCAGCAGATGCAATACAAGCCAACTCTGTTAGGCCCAGCTCTTATGTGTATTATCTAGAACATAACCCCCACAGTTGATGAGGGATTACCCAGGTACTATACAACTGAAAGTTGACAAATTTCTCAGAAATTATGCAATGTATATTATCTTACATTGACCAAGTTCTGGAATTGGATTCCAGAATAGAGAGAGCCACAAATAAAAGAAAGATTGGGGTTGCATCACTCTTTTACACTGAAATCTAAAGGAGCCTTTAGAAAATGGTAAAGCAAATGCCAATCACCAGTTATATTTGGCCCATTACCTCCTGTTTCAACATCAGGCACTATGACAATCTCTGCTTGAATAAGCACCTCTGCCTAAACTTCAGGCAATATAAAATATAACATGACCCATGTTTCTTCAAACATACAAGTTACAATGACCTAGTTTTCTCAGAGGTAACTAGGTACTATTAGACGATTATACACACGAAGCTTGATGACTGTAACATGTTACACTACTGTACAACCTGGCCTATACATAAAACATAACATGACTTATACTTCCCCAAAATAAAGGTTATAGTGATGAGCTTTACAGAGAAGTGACTTGAGTATCTTTAGATGATCATGTCCTGCAAGTCTGATAACCCTACTGTATTTAGTAAGTGAAGTATGACCTTAAATGTACCGCATTAACATCTCTTTATGCCAATGACAACATCAAGTGAAAAATGACAACCTCAATGTCAGGGTTTGTAGTGCATACCCCGGTGAACTTTGTACAGTTGAGCTATAAAAAAGAGCCATCCCTATCCATCAACCTCACTTTAAAAGATAAAACCCTGATGCCCCATTCCCTGTAAGAACTTTCCTTGATAAATTCCAGTCACTGCCTGTCTTTACTGTAAGTTTTATAACTATCCCAAGCAAACATTCTAAAATATCTGATGAATAAGTCTACATGGGAGTGAAAGTATTGCACAAGTAAAGATAGCACTGAGAAATAAAGAGGAAAATTATGAATGGTTTTCTCAGCAACTATGCACACAAGAGAAAGGAATAAGTGAAATGGTGATAAATAGAGAATGTTAATATGAAACTCAATGACAAAATACTATAGACATGAAGAGACTGTGGCATACCAGCACACAGTTGTACACTGTTATGGTGTCAAAAAAAATTAACTACTGTATCAATGGGAGGAGGAGCACTCCTTCACTTCTCACAAATGGCCAACTACATACTAATAAAAGTGTTACTTATAATGTCTTTAACATGCACCATTACTTTGTCATCCTGAAAAAGTGAAAGTGGGTCCCACAAGTCTGACAATCCAGTACAGGCAGTATGGATACAGCACACTGCATATTAGGCCTTTGGTAAACAAGGAGGAAGTGTGGCCAGCACTGCACTCATATGCCTTCATTTTCTCAAGAGTAAAGTTAGGTACTGTTTTAAAGCTGGGTGAACTGGCATGCCAAGAACTGACCGTTAGGGCAGGAGGCAAGCACTGTATCCACTCAGCCGCTGTACTCACCTATCAATCAATCTAAGAGATGACAAAAAGTTATTTCCAAATATATTCGCTAATTTAATTTTTCAATGTTTACTCACATCAGCTGAAGGTCTCTTTTCAGAACGAGATCGTGATGCTGGATACTCTGGTAATGGAGGCCCGTCATAATAGCGAGGTGGACCAATGGGGTCAAAGGGCGGCTGTGAATTATAAAGGGTAAAGGATCCCGTCAATTAATTTGTATATTCTCTTATATAAATACTTAATATATCTGATACACATTCACATGATAAAAATGAGGCAGCATCAGTTCCTTAAAATAATAAAAAAAAAAATACACAATGTGCATGGAATTCTGGCATCCTCGATTAGCATCAATCTTAATGTCAAAATTAGTATGAATTTTGTATTACAGTATAACATATTTCACACAAAATATAAAAAAAACTTTCAGGAAATTTAATGAACATAAATTGAAAATCTAACAGTGATAAAAGAAAATGTAAATCATAGCACAATGTGAAATGCTATTCATGAACGCCTAAATAAAAAATAAAATATCTGTACAAGAAAGAACTGAGAGCATACAGTATTCTAGTCCTGTAGCCATTTTTCCTAAACAATATATTTTGGTTGGATTTGTTACACCTTTTGTTAAGAGACCTGATAGTTCCATCTAATACAACTACCCATCAGCTATCAGAAAAGATATGTTGTGGGTGCCAGGGCATGGTCTATGTCCTCCCCAGAGGTCTTAGTACAAGGGGTCAAATAGCCAAAATTTTAAATTAAATTGCATAACCTTTAGGTTAACCACACTGAAGTGATGTGGTGTCAATGACATGTCACTAGTGTATCACTATTCACTAGCTTGCATATATAAACACCAAAGGAACTTGAAGCAACATGTCTCTTCAGTCTTGTGTGATGTTTCTTGAGCGAGAATTATTTGATATCTGTATTGCTTTTCGTCAACAGAAGGAAAACATACACATGTGGGTCCATCCACTGAAGCACATGTAGTGACACCCATAGTGATAATGGGCAAGTAGTGAATAATACAGTACTGTAATTAAGTACAATCATCCCCCATGTTACAAACATTTGGGTTATGGAAATTCACACATACGGAATCTGTAAATGTGACCAGTAAATTCAGGATACGTCAGAAAAATTTGCCCTTAAAGATGGTTAATTTCTTAATGACTTGTTTACCATCAAGTGTGGGTACATGGCATGAGGTTTAGACGATGGTAATCTTTGATGGTACACTGTCAGGCTGAAAGTGCTGACACAGAAGCAGCAAGAAATTATCCACAGATTTTGAAAGCAATAACTGAAGAAGACAGCTATACACCTCAACTGCTTACTGGAAGTGTATGCCAGCTAGAACCTTCATAGCAATGAAAGAAAAGACTGTGCCAGGTTTCAAAGCAGCTAAAGATTGCCCAACTCTTCTTGCAAACCCTTCAGGGGATTTTAGGGTCAAGGACTATGAAGGGCTATTCAAAACAGCATCTCCCTGTTATTTGGCATTTGAACAAAAATGCCCAGGTAAAAATGGTACTTTTTCAAGAATGGTTCAGTTTGATTTCTGCCCTGCTGAGAAGGAATATTGTGCCATAAACACAAGGCACTACTTATCCTGGACAATGCTCCAGGACATCCTATCAACCTTGACGACTTAGCTGAACATGTTCAAGTAATTTCTATGCGACCCAACACGACTTCCTTACTGCAACTTATTATGTGCATCACATCTTCTCCCAGCTCATCAAGGAAATGGACAGTGCAATTAAAGCAACAATAAAGGTCAACTTCGGGGACTCGGGGCAGGAAATTTAGCCGTAAAACAGTCCCCAGGTGTAGGTAGTGAATCACATTTCTTCCCAAGAATAAGTAGTTCCATTAAATTACATACTGTACACAAAATAAGCTATTACTGTATTTAATTAATACAGGCAGACCCCAATTTACAAAAAAAAATATTTATGAAAAAATAAATTGTCCCACAATTTGATTTATGAGCAAAAATCCCAGTTACATTTTTTCATTAGTAAAAATGAAAATATACTAAAATAATGCAGTTTTTCTCATTTCAAGTATGCTTACAATTTATTTCATTACTGTATTATCTAATACTCACAATGCTATTAAGTCTACAATTAAGCTTTCAGTGTGTCATCAGTCTCCTACAAACACCAACTTATTCCTCAAACTCACATGAAGACAAGAAGACTCGTCATTCACACAACCACACACACTATCACTTAGCCAGTTGCCTAATTATTCAATTTCTCCTCATTAATCTTATATAATACAGTATATGACAAATTAAACAAAATAAAATTATTCCGTATTCTTACATTTCATATGAAAATTATGTACAATAAAGGTGTAGAGTTATAACAGAAAGTGTGGAAGTTGGAAGTAAAAAAATGTTTGGAGGAGTGGATATTGTCAACGACTTACGAGGAAGTGTGTGAAGCATCAGCTGACCGAGCCGAGATGCTGACTGGTGGCTGGCATAAAAGCATTTTGCACCTTTGTGTGGTGATATTTTTTCTCCAATGGTTTCAAGGCATCGCTTTTTAAATCTAAAGTACTGTATGAAGCTAGTCCATGGTGAAATTACCGTATTGTGGAATTTTCAGTTCCTCATATAGTCCAATGTCCTTTGTCCAGTTTTTGTAGAATTTCCATTTTTTCTTTTCTTTTTTTACATTTTATATTTCCTTTTAGCACTGTTAAACTCAGTTCTATCACTTTGGTGTTTGTTTGAGGACATTGTAAAAGCAAATTAAAATAATTATTAAACAAAGAGTACTGCAGTGTTTGTGCCATGTAAACAAAGCAAGAACTTAGAAGGACATACAACTGATCATAAGTCAAGCATGTTTTATTTATTTATTTATTTTTGCATAGAGCACATATCTCAAATTATAAAATGGGAGTCATTGTTCTGTATTACTACAGTACTATAATTATTAAAGATGCTGGCTTAGCATTTCAGAGTGGTCAATTTATTTCAAATCATATCTGTTTATCTTTAAGTACAGGTATAGAACTATTACTGTACTGTATGTCTTTCACTGATTATGTCTATCAGTATCTTATAATTATTATGTACACAAATAATTTTCATTAAAAACATATTTTGTATCATTTTAAGATAATTGGGGATTTTTGTTCAATCCAGAATGCGACGTCTATCTTTATTCCTGGGTATGTTAATGCCTAGCAATAACTCGCCAGGCCAACATACAGGCAATTAAAACATCTAATAATTACTTAATACGTAATATTAGGACACGTCGCTACCTGGCATTTAATTGCAATTCCCAAAACCCCCTCCCGCACCCTCCATCACAAGCATTGCTACCGTCATCTTCTTGCCTGGCGAATCAGCTGTAAATATGCATAAAGAAGGCTCACTAATTTGTGTTGCAATAGCTGAAATACTAAGTGCCACGAGGATTTTATATACGGTATTTATACATCTTAGCATGGTGAGGAAATCGAGTGACTTTTATTTTGTTTATGTCTCATATTGTGTTTGGGACAATTTCTTATACGGTCTGGTCAGCATGGTGGCCACAGCGCGTCTTCTATTATGAAGTCGCTAGATCGTTAGTGACTAATATGCTCTACTCATAGATTGGAACCATTGGAATTCAATCTATCTGTTCCCACCTGTGAATATGTTGCCCAAAGTGGTTCACAAACTCAGATCCTTCCAAGGGAAGGTCCTCTTAATTGCACCATATTGGATCCTACAACCGTGGTGTCTCGATCTGTTGACTGGTGCCCGCATCCACTACAATTGCAACAGGGATATCTAGAACAGGTACTGCACCCTCACTTCGAGATATCCTTGGCACTTCACACTTGGAGTTTCTCGAAAGATATTAAAATAGATTGTTTAGTAATTCCAATATTGTTACCTAAGTGATAGCAGGTCATAGGCCCCAAACTTCTATGCAATATGAGAAAGCTTGGAAATTTTTTCAACAATTTATCAGGTTAACGACTCCAATCACACTGTCGGAAACAGTGGTGTTAGAATTTTTAGATTTTCTGTTCAGAGTTAAAGGCCTTCAAGGATCGACAATTGCATCTTCTAAATCAGCATTGGTTGACCCTCTGGCATGGGGTTTTAATATTACTTTGAACCCAAGAATTTATCAAATGCTCAGATATTCCTTTTTTATTCAGAGACCTCCTCGGCCTAAGAGAATCCCACCTTGGTCTCTAGATAAAGTTACTAAATTTCTTATGGGGCCTAATTACAATATAAATCTGAACCGGGACAGATTGCTCCAGAAGGCAGCCTTCCTTCTAGCAATTGCAACAGGTATGAGAATCAGTGAACTGATTTCAATTTCCAATAATCCATCATTTTCTGAGGAAGATGTCACCCTTTTTCCTACGGAGATTCTAAGAAAAAATAAAAGGGAGGATTTTAGAGCTCAACCTATCAGGATAAAATGGCAGATGGATGAGACAAGGGTTCCTCATATATTGTGCCCAGTTAGGAATCTTCAAGAATGGTTAACCAGTTTCCATAATCGAAGCCCCTATGTATTCTCATCACAGGATGGTAAGAAATTGTCTCCTAGTCAAATGACAAAATATTTGTCTCAGTTAGTGAGTAAAGCAGACCCTGGCAAGAAATTATTGGCACATGACACCAGGAAATATGCAGGGTCTGTGGCCTTTCTGCAGCAAATGAGCCTCAGTCAGATTAAAGAAGTGGGCTTTTGGAAATCTTCAAAAACCTTTCAAAACAGCTATCTTCATCTATCTCTGAAAGATGCTTCACATGTGGTGGGCTGGGGTCCCCTCCCCCACCTAGTTACTCTCCACAACCAGTACCTTCTTCTTCCTCATCAGAGTAAAGTGAGTATCCTAATTGAGATATGAAAATTAACATTTTACCTTCCGGTAAATGTTCCTAATACTGTATTGGAAAACATTCCAAAAGGTTTATAATCATAATCTGGACCTAAGCTAGCGGAGCCTTGTATGTAACGTCACCTCCCTCTCCACCTCCTGCTCGGGTAATCAAAGCTAGATGTCGCATTCTGGATTGAACAAAAAGCCTTTTTTTTTTTTTTTAAGTTTTTGTGATATACAGTAGTCCAGAATGAGACGTAGATATTCCACCCATCTACACACTTTGAGAGTTGACATTTGTTTACAGCTCGCTCTAGGGCAAGAGATGACGATAGCAATGCATGTAACGGAGGGTGCGGGAGGGGGTTTTGAGAATTGCAATTAAATGCCAGGTAGCGACGTGTCCTCCTAATATTACGTATTTAAGTAATTATTAGATGTTTTAATTGCCTGATGTTGGCCTGGAGAGTTATTGCTAGGCATTAACATACCTAAGAATAATGCTAGACGTCGCGTTCTGGACTATATCACAAAAACTGGTTTTTAGAAAAGAAAAAAAAGGCATATATATATATATATATATATATATATATATATATATATATATATATATATATATATATATATATATATATATATATATATATATATATATATATATATATATATATATATATATATATATATATATATATATATATATATTATATATATATTGAAAGAAGGTATATCGGGAAAATGTGCACCGATTTACAAAATTTTTATTTACAACAGATTTTACTTGAACATAACCCTCTCATAAATCAGGATCTGCCTGTATTTTGGTGATAAATTTTGACCAGCATTGCCCACCAGGAATGTAACCCCTATTTATATCATTGGGTCGATGGTAATCTCTTGTTCACTATACGTTGTTTCACTTAACATTGTACTTTTCAAGAACACATGTCTGACGTATAACGAGGTATACCTGGAAATAGGAGTCAAAGTGGAAGGTTTCTTGTCAACTGAATACAGTAATCATTTAACAGAGAATTTGAAAAGACAGTTGAGAAACAAGAAATTTACACATATGAGCTTGAATAAACCGAAGAGCTGGCAGGGATGAAGAACGATGGTTCTGTTGGGCCCTAGACCAGTTGCATGTGAAAAATAATGAGTTGTAAGTACAGTACAGTAAATGCAATTATAGTATTTAAATGTGGTACAATATACAGTACAGCATAAACTCAGTGTTAGGACAACCAGTTCCTATGTGGTGCCTTCGGATCACAAACACAGAATAATATAAAAGAAACCACATACGTAGAAACTTTAATTTTAAATTGAGGGGAAGCCTTCCAGAGGCATCCAACCAACAGAAACAAAAATATGAGAAAACAGAGCATGAAGATACACAACTCTCCAGGTCTTCACGTGTCTAATGCAGCCTGAGAGGATGGTGCAATGCTTTGATTGGCCAAGCATGGTTGTGTGGTCATAATCCTAGCATGTGATTGATTTTTGGCTTGGGAGGCCAAAGTTATGCCAGACTCATGACTAAATGGTAAATTACTACATGAAGAGAAGCTTCACAAGACTTTGTTTCCAAAAGGATGTGAAGGTTTTCTAGTTTCTTTATGGCCTTATGCATTATACCATCAGATTCAGGATGTATAAACCACACACTGATTTTTGTGGTGATAATACTCCTCTGGAATGCTGCCCCTCAATTATACTAAGAAATAATTGTGTACATGATCAGAAAGCTCTTCAAAATCTGAATTTACAATCACTTGTTAAATGATGTAAGGACCTATGCCTGAAGTTTAGAAAGCCAGGTGGTACCTGCTATGTCAAAACACCAGCACATCCTGACACTCACAGCAAATTTAATTCATGAATGTAATTCATGGCATAACCTCTGTACCAGCTCTTACCGTATGTACAGCCACTGACAAAATACTCTCGACATGTCTGGTAGCATCTGGTAACTAACTAAATTATTTTGACATTACTGGTTCATTTATGATATGCATAATATCAACCATTGTTAATAGAATTGATCACTTGGTACTGACCAATCACGATGGCCTTTACATCCATGTTTTACCGACAGAGGGGATACTCTACGGCGATAGTACCCACACATAAGGTGTTGCCAGATGCTACCAGACGTGTCAAGAATATTTTGTCGGCGACTGTACAGTAGGACTGAGCCTACAAAAATCAAATGTCTCCTACCCCACACCATTATTCAAAAAGGAAATATAATATAATTCTTACCACTACATCATGCCATGACCATATCTTGATTATGCCACATCATCAAATTCCTACTTACTGTCATCATGTTTCAACTTACACACAATTCCTTATCATCAACATCGTATCACGTCTCCATGGTGGAATCACAAAATGATTAAGTAATTACAGTACGTATGCTGAAGATATTTTACCTGTACAGTATTAAAATTATATGAGTATTAACATTATAAAGACAATTATTGAGGAAACATGGCATTTTAAAATGTGACCATAGCAGATGATGGGCAGTTTATGTAGATCCTTTATCTCAGCAACATGCAGTCAGTAAGATCCAATACTTTAAGGATATTAAATTCTAACAGATATCTCCTCTCTCTTTATGTGGCTGTTTTGGTGAGAAGTGACCCTAGAGGGAACTTTCACAGAGTAGGGATGACATGATAGGGAATGACATGTACTGTATGGTGACTTGAGGTTCAAAAAAGGAACACTTGACCACGAGAATAGCAGCATAAGTGATAAACTGTTAGAATGCCTGATATGATAGTAAAGAATGGAGTGGTGGTCTTGATGCAAATGGGTTTAGATTCTATTTTCTTCTGTTGGTGACAAGCAGGACTATGAAGCACCACCCCATGTGAGAATATTATATCGTGTGGGTGGACAGGCTATTGTAAACTAAAATACATTGTACTCCAGTAAAGTTTGAAGGAGCCTGAAACAGAAAGGTTCTAAGTTGCATTCTTTATATGAGAATGTGATCACTCCATATTTTACTATGTTCAGGCATATTGACATTGGTGGCTGGTATAATGGCAATGATACTGGATGTAAAAGGAGCCTCATAATGACCTCGACCATAAGATGATAAAAGATTGTGTTTTGAAGACAATGAATATAACTAGGTGATTTTTGTCTCACTGAGCTATGGACTATATGTAGTTGTAACATTAGGCTACATACTTAAACCAGTAGGATAAACTTTTGTGCTCATTGACATCATCAGCAAAGGACTGTGCTGCTGAAAAAACAGCGAGTTGGTCATTAATATGGAGTAAACAGAGGGTATAAGCAAGAACTGATTGAACCTTGAGGTACTACAGTACAAGTAGCCAGAATGTGAACCATTCACTACTTCATGGATGTGGCAGTTGGAGAGAAAAGAAGAAATCCAGGACATTAAAGAATAGGGAAGACCCAAAGAAGGAACTTTAAAATTTGCTGATAGCTTCAGATATATCAAGATCAACACAATAAAATAAGGTTTGCTTAAGTTGTGAAAAGCAAAGTCAGAGTTCTGGCTAGAAGGGTAAGCAGGCCTGCAATAGAATGGCTGGAATGGAAATCATAAATGGTGTCATAGAGAAAGTGTAGTGTTCTTCGAGGAGTTTGATATATTGTTTATTATGACAAATTTTTTGACTTTGTAGATGATGGAAGCAAATTTAGGGAACATTAGTTTTCAGTAAGACGATGGATCCAAATTTGTTTTTTTACACCATGTGGTTAAGTGTATTGTGATATCTTTTATGATAAGGCATTATTAAAGAGTTTAAATTCATGCATCTTATATTGTTAACTGTGATTTGTAATCCAATGGTAGATGTACTCAATTCTTAAATATAAACAATAATTATTATCATCATCGTCATCATCTATACACATTTGCATACAGTACTTACACACATTTACTTACCGGAGGAGGAAAGGCCATGGGGGGTAAATTACTTGGGGCACGTGAGTGGAAGTCCCGCATCTCTCGCATGAAGTCTTGATAGGTCTGCAATGAAGATTCCTAAAACTGCTTTATGAAAGGGTTCCAGTCTGTTACAAAAATTTTCAAAAATTCATAGTATCCTAAACACAATGTTCATTACTTAAAGTGTATGAAGACAATACAGTATTCTCTTTAAGATGAGATTTCTTAGAGAGAATATTAAATGCTGTAACCTTATGCACAGCTGTAAACATACTTTTCCATCCTCACTCTCTAAATAAAAAGTAAATATTCAACCTTTTTTAACATGATACAGAAGAACCCCAGTTATCCAGCACCTATGGGAATTGAGAGGTGTCGGATGAGGACATTTTCCAGTTGGTTGAATCTCACTTTTAGGATCCCCCAATAAATCCTACAATGCATAGTGTTACATGCTGACCTCACAAATTCATTTCTCAGAAATACTAGCTTCTTTAACACCTATTCCACACTATTATGCAGCTTTGAAATAAAGAAAATATAGTATTGTTCTGTATAAAACTATGAAAAAAGAAAAAATTAAAATAAGAGCATGGGTGTGTACTATGTGTAGGAACTGAATGTATGTGGAGATGGTGGGCTATAACTGCATCTCCAACTCGCCAGCCCAGCCGCTGCGTTTGTTAAAGGTAATGAAACTATAAAAGTTGATGAAAAATTATTACAATACTCTGGCTTAGAAAAATTCAAATATAATATAAAACTAAAGAAAATGAAACGAATGTTTGTGGAGGCGGTGGGTTACTGGGCTATAACTGCATGACCTTCCGATGTGACGTCACAGCATACACACACAGACAGTGCGGCAGCTACACATCTGTGAGTCAGCTGGGAGACTGCTTGGCTGAACTGTGTCGTGTTTGAGTGTGGAAGGAGCTATATTTTTGTATAGTACTGCATAAAATAGGTGCTATTGTATTTTATGATATGTTATCTTTATCATAGTAAAAATATGGCAGCTCATCCTCGTTGTGCTCAGTATTGAAACTTATGATTCTAGCTGATTTAAGAGGAATTTTTATTTTCATTATTATTACTATTTCATTTTGGTACCGGTTCATTGAATGTCTCGGTTACTTGGATTCCTGATAACCAGGGTTCTACTGTATTCACTAAATAAAATGATTCCCCATAAAGTGAGAATAATCTTAATTTCCTGCACTGTTCAACCCAACCTAGTAACCACAAGGGGTCCCCACTGAAACATGTCCAATTTATTAGTTTTATTACTATGCTGCTGGTGACTTAAGGACAGTGTTTGTTACCATCATCCATGTTTCATAGTAACATCGTTGGCCATCATCTGCCTAACTACTGGTATCCTTAAGTTATGGAAATATACATTAATGAAATCCAAAAAACATAGGATGAGTTTTGATACAGAAAATCTTGCAGAAGTTCCCCCAGTTAATAAATAGATTTATTTTTTTTATATTTGCCAACCTCCAATATTTCACTAAACATAATATTAAAGATATTTAAACTACCTATAAACTAAATTTATAGGGACGGTAGAGGAAGGCTGACTAGATAACTCACACAAGCTAAACCAAAATCTTGTGATACTGAATGCAATACAGTACAAGGAGAAAAATTATATCTCCAAAGTATCCAGTTTCTGAAGCTTCTAAATAACCTAAAGTGGACACAAAAACTATTTTAGTTGCTCCTAAGACCATAACATTTTCAACAATATGGGACTAACCAGTTTATGGCTGCTGTTGCCATTGTATGAGGCTCCTTCTCGTCTTGGTACACTGCGATACACAGGTGATCTCTCCCTCACACGTTCACGAGCGTATGTGGGTGCTGAAATAATTATTTTATAGCATTTGTAAATTTGCTACATTATATTATGACACAACTAAACAACACACACAAGAAGGTATGAAGGCCGGCATTCATAAACATGTATGTACAAAGATAATGAAATATGAAGCAAGTGAAATATGGATGATTTCAATCTTAAAATCCATTTTTATGGCTCATATGTAAGGTGAGTGATAGGTGAAGCATACCAGCATAATGAAGAAATACGTTCGAGGAAAAGATAATTTAGGGTATCCCGCGATTTATGATCTCCCTATCTACAATATTCTGCTTTAACGATGGTAATGTATTAAGACCCCACCCCTCATTTATGATGTAAACAATCCACATTAACGATAGTGGTCTACCCGAGTGGGTCAAATGGGAACGCCTCAAGTGTAAACCAGCAACCCTTGAGGCATGTCTTAGCCACCCCCAAGTTACCAAATATTGACATCAATTATAAATGCGAGAGATTTATAAGCATTTATTAACCCTTAAGCCCCGGGTTAGGGTCCTGGTGGCAGTACCCCCCACCCGGGGGTAAACCGAGAAAAAATCTAATTTTCCAAAAAATAATTTTTAACCTTTTAAAATTATAAAAAAAGTAAGAAAAACTATATATTGACCCCCGAGAAACTTCTTCGGCCGCGCAGAGGGAGGGAGGAGGGGGAGAGATAAGGAGAGTGTTGGGTTGACAGCTGACGCTCGTGGTCCCTCGGCACTTAGCAGCTATTTTTAGCTCGCGTTTGTGTCCGAAGTGGCCAATAATGTATGTATTTACTGATCTTAATATTTATTTTCTATAAATAATTAATTTAGAATATTTTATTTGCATAATTTTTCATAAAAAAGTGCTTGGCAACAATCACCAGTGGGTCACCAGTCTGCCTGGCTGTCTTTGTGTTTGGTAGAGCAAGTAATGCATGAAATAATAACAATTCCACAAATAAAAACATTTATAACATAATCATAGCATTGTTTTACAGTAATACTACCCTGCAATACAACTACACTACTTTTAGCACTACCCCCCTGTATTACTTTGATACAACATGATAAAATAGACAAACAATGAAAATGAAACAAACAAAATTAGGTAATTTTGTTCAGGAAGCTTCCCTGTGGCCGAGCGTGTGGCATGACAGGCAAATACTGTAGTCACACTGGAACCTGATAACCCGCGCTGGGCATTTAAAGTGGCGGGAATAGGCGCGTGTTCTGGAACGTCACCCGGGGCCTAAGGGTTAAAAACTAGGTACAACCCAATTCTGTTCAATACAAGTTCAGTAGAGTACTGTATACACCCTATAACAGGGAAGACCCATTGCTCAAAAGTAAAAGTTCTATGATACACTACAAAAGGTATTTGAATCTGTCAAGCACAGTACAGTATTCTGCATAAAATACACGAATGATCATGTAGTACAGGACAGGTATTGTAAATGTGTACTTGTATTAGAGGCAAATAGGTAGTGGTACAGAAGGATACTGTTGATGGTTGGTGGTGTTGATGGTTGGTGGTGTAGATGGTTGGTGGGTGTAGATGGGAAGTGGTACAGAAGGTTACTGTTGATGGTTGGTGGTGTAGATGGTTGGTGGGTGTAGATGGTTGGTGGGTGTAGATTGTTGGTGGTGTAGATGGTTGGTGGTGTAGTAGGTAATTGGTGGTGTAGAATGTTAGTAGTGTAGATGGTTGGTGGTGTACAGTGATGATGGTGTAGAAGGTTGGTACAGTACTGCTAAGACGTTAAGGGATTAGTACTGTACTTACACACGCCTTGTCAAACACCAACTGGTTTTGGGTACACTTGAAAACATGTGTGAAGCTAATTAACAAAAGCCTTATACTTTACTCCTATTTACTAACCTGGTTTTTCAGTTCTGCCTCTAAAGTTTGGTGGACCTCTCAAGCGTTTTACTCTGGGACCATAATCCTCGCCGTCAAATCTCCGTCGCCGTCCACCACCACGACTATTAGAAGAAAAAATGTAATATTATTAAAAGATGTTTGAAAAGCGTATGCCCCACCTATCTGAAAAACTTTAAACTGCACACGCGCACACACACACACACGCATGCATGCATGCACACACACACACACACACACACACACACACACACACACACACACACACATGCACACACATATAGACAGAAAAGGCAAACCACTTATATAGAGTTGGGGCACAATAATTAACTTAAAATTAACTACCATACTTGTGCATATTATAAAAACAATATCTTACAATTAATATAACTAGTATCAATGAAGCTTGAAGAGGAGAGAAGGTTTTATTATTACATGACTATTAAGTATATGATAACAAATGACAATATGGATTATGGGCGAGATGAAATTAAAAATAAAGATGAAAGAGACTGGAGTGGAGAATGCAGTTATATACAGTAGACAGATGTAGTGATAATGACTCAGTCAGTAATGTTTACTTATATTGGTTGAGAAAACTTGCCAAGTGCAATCATGACATTAAAGAAACACGGAAAAGCAAGGAGTGTGTGAAGCATAACTGAGAACTGAATTCTGAAACCCCATTTTATGACTGGGAGCAGAGCTGAGTGGCAGATACAACACTCCAAGACAGTTAGTTATCTGGCCTGTCATGGAGTGTGATAAATTCTGTATCAATAAGCATTACCCTTGTGACTACAGTAATGCAATTGATGCAAAAATTAGGCAGCTCATCCAGTCACACAGGAGCCTGATCAGGTATTCTATAATAAAATGGTAGCTTTTAATCCTAAGAAGTCACTGGTAATGGTGTAGATGGGTGGTGGTGGTGTAGATGGGTGGTGGTGGTGTAGATGGGTGGTGGGTGGTGTGGGTGGTGGTGATGGTGTGGTGGTGGTGGTGTAGATGGGTGGTGGTGGTGTAGATGGGTGGTGGTGGTGTAGAAGGGTGGTGGTGAGATGGGTGGTGGTGATGGGTGGTGGTAGATGGGTGGTGGTGGTAGATGGTGGTGGTGTAGATGGGTGGTGGTGGTGTAGATGGGTGGTGGTAGAAGGGTGGTGGTGGTAGATGGGTGGTGGTGGTGTAGATGGGTGGTGGTGAGATGTGGTGGTGGTGGTGTAGATGAGTGGTGGTGGTGTAGATGGTGTGGTGGTGGTGTAGATGGGTGGTGGTGGTGTAGATGGGTGGTGGTGGTGTAGATGGGTGGTGGTGGTGTAGAAGGGTGGTGGTGGTGTAGAAGGGTGGTGGTGGTGTAGATGGGTGATGATGGTGTAGAAGGGTGGTGGTGGCATAGATGGGTGGTGATGGTGTAGATGAGTGGTGGTGTAGATGGGTGGTGGTGGTGTAGATGAGTGGTAGTGTAAATGGGTGGTGGTGGTAGATGGTTGGTGGTGGAGGTGACTGTTGCTCTGACATCATATATTAGTCAAACTCATTCTGAAACAATCAATTGTATACTGCATCCAGGTACCTATTGTAATCATCTAAACTTACTGAGACCAAGACCCAAGCATTCAACTTTGTGTTACTAAACAATTAGAACCCTGCCGTACTGTTTAACCTCTCGATGGCAACACCTATTTACCCCCCCTCCCCCCCTTGTACAGATTGCGAAACAATTATCTGAATCATAACAATGTACAGTAATATCAACTAATGTACAATCAAATGGTTCACTTAAGGTTCATTTGGATTATAGTAATAAGATCGTTTAGCTTTCACGAAATACTGAATTACAGTAACTCAAATTCTATTTTTTCATCAACTTCAGCATTATGCCAAATTCATCTCAATATATCAGCAAACACAGAGGTAAGAGAGAGCTATAAGGTGGCTGACCAAAAAGATTCACGAGGTGGCTAAAAACACAAAATTTGTGAGTTGGCTAAACAAAAAATATTCTTGAGGTGGTCAAGCATATTTAAAGTTGCCGGCATTTTCGCGGCTGGGACAGGGAGCCATTCATTCTAGAGACAGTAATTTCCTTTTCCTGTTTTGTCAATATGTGTGTGTGTGTAATAATAATAATAATAATAATAATAATAATAATAATAATAATAAACGGTTTATTAATAGAGTTGCAGCCGGTGGCTGAAAATATACAGACTTACATTTGATTTAGACATAATAATATAATATGCATTGAATACATTTACAGGGCTGTACAGTACATAAATCAGGAGTTGTTTATTATTTTAACAATAGATGGGATGGTGCTGTTCTTATATCTATCGGTGCGGGCTCTTATGTGTGTGTGTGTGTTTGTAGATACACACACACACACAAAACACATAAAAGTAAATAATAGTGGGAAAATCCTTTCACAAATAATTAATAAAAAATAAATTTATCAAAAATGCGAGTCTACCCTCAAGTCTGTGCTTTATTAATAAAGTAATAAAGCACGGACTTGAGGGCAGACTGTCACATTTTTAATATTTTTTTTTTATTATTTCTGAGAGGATTTTCCCATTATTATTTAATAATACTAATAATAATAATAATAAACGGTTTATTGAAAAAGTTTGCAGCCCGAAGGCTGAAAATATACATTGGACATAAATGATTTATTACATACATTGGTGGTTTAACAAAAGCCTTCATTAGAGAAAGGTGAAGGAACATACAGTGAACATACAAATTAATGTTTACACACGTAGATCATGTGAGCTGAGGTGTTGAGCAGCAGACACGTAGTGTAGTAACTCCCTCACAGATGGCGTTATGAGGGGCATCGCGTGGAGTACTAGTTCCTTCACAGGTGGTGTTATGAGGGGCTTGACGTGATGTAGTAATTCCCTCACAGATGGTGTTACGAAGGGACTGATGATGTAGTAGTTCCCTCACAGATGGTGAATGAGGGGCCTGATGATGTAGTAATTCCCTCACAGATGGTGTTATGAGGGGCCTGATGTGGTGTAGTAATTCCCTCACAGATGGTGTTATGAGGGGCCTGATGTGGTGTAGTAATTCCCTCACAGATGGTGTGTGGGGGGCCTGATGTGGTGTAGTAATTCCCTCACAGATGGTGTTATAAGGGGCATCACATGGCGTAGTAATTCCCTCACGGATGGTGTTATGAGGGGCATCACGTGGTGTAGTAATTCCCTCGCAGGTGTTATGAGGAACTTCACATGATGCTGTAGCAACTCATTCACTATGCGGTGTCATGCATAATGGGGACACCACGTGGTCCGTTGTCACAGGAATTCACTCACTCAAGTGGGTGAGGTGTGGTCCCAGGCCTCTCTATCGTGGAGTCTCAGGGGAATTATCACTGGGTACCTGGGACCTCACTGTGTGAAGGTTAGCTTGGCTCAGACTCAACTGCCAAGTTGTTTTTCACTGACTTAAGCACTGTTCACCACTATTCAACACTGGTTCCATTCCTTTCCCAAATGAAATAGTAACTTCTGGCGAGAACTTGTTGATATTCCGGTGGGGAGGAGGGTTCAGGGGAGGGAGTTGGTATGGGCCAACATAACAGTTGACGTGGCTGCTGCTGAGCAGCGCCAGGTGCATCTGACCCGTCTTGACCCGTGTGTGTGTGTGTCTACATTTTTACTTGTGTACAAAGAAATGTATATTTCCTTTATGTGTTTGCCCTTAGGACAATTATTTCTTTTACCTGTATTGTACTGTACTGTATATGTGTGTGTGTGTGTGTGTGTGTGTGTGTGTGTGTGTGTGTGTGTGTGTGTGTGTCTACACACACACACACACATACAAATAAATAATAATGGGAAAATCCTCTAACAAATAATAAAAAAAAAATTATTAAAAATGTGAGTTTACCCTCAAGTCCATGCTGTGAATTTAAAGTTTAACCTCGTTCGTATTGGCGGATGTTCGTAACCCGGGGACTAACTGTACTGAACTATAATACTGTACCTCAAGTATAATTCGACCCTAGCTTTTGAGAAATACTAGGTACAGGGTGTCCTCGCTTAACGTCGGGGTTACGTTCCTGAAAACGCGACGTTATGCGAAACAACGTTAAGCGGATCAATTTTCCCCATAAGAAATAGATAAAATACGGGAGTTACGTTCCTGAGCCTCCCTTTGCCCCATGAAAAAAGTTACATCACAGAAAATCATTGCTATTTCCATAGAAAATAGTATATAGAACTTCAGTACTAAGTTTGTATTGGTACTCACCGATGGGCGGAGGTGGTAGAGCGAGTGAGTAGTGGGTAGTGGAGCGAAGGAGGAGGATGGCGGGAGGGGAGGAGGGTGGTGAGTCACTGAGGCTGCCTCCTCCTGCTCTGACTGGGGTTCCTCCGCTGCTGCTTGCTCCTCCTCCGTTGTTGGCGGGAATGTCAAAGCAGCAACCATATCTGAACTGGCAGCTTCACCAGTCATCTTTATGTTGTGGAAGTTATACCGACGCTTAAATCGTTGAAACCAGCCTCGTCTGGCCGTAAAGGTCTTTCCCTTCGATCCTTCACCCTCTGTTTCCTTCATGTCATCAAACAGGGATCTGACCTTATGCTGGATAACCATAAGGCTCACAGGGGCATTGCGTTGATTCTGGTCCTCCATCCACATTGCCAGCATCTTTTCACCTTCTCTATCACAGTGCTTCTAGTACGAGTCGTCTTAGTAACACTCAGAGAAAAACCACTTCCAGCACTAACCTTAATCTTGTCAGCGTTGGTCCGGATAGTACACACCGTTGTGGGGGTTAGATCAAGTACAGCGGTTATGTCCACAGCATGTTCCCCTTTTCAAATCGGGTTAATACATTCATTTTCGTGGCAAGAGTAATGGTCTTACATTGCCTCTTCACTACACTAGCACTTGATGGGCGCTTGGAAGCCATTTTGAAAGGTTAGAGTACAGTTTTAGAGCAAAAGCACTTAAGCACACATCAATGATGTGAAGTTGCAACAGAGACTGACTTGGCGTCGCTTGGGGATGCTGTGACGTTCCGCAAGTGAGGGCGGCGAGCCGAGCCGAGAGTGTAGCGCGGCCAGACAAGAGCGGGAGATGCGCCGTAGAA